AAAGTGAGTCATGATGTCTGGAACCCAACGAAGGATCACTGATTATGATCTAGATCCGAGTGAAACAAACACGGCCTACAATCCTGGACAAAATTGTTGGGACACTTGGCAATAGCCATACGTTGTCCAGCCCCCTCCCCCGTCAATGTGGTCATGTCCAGCTGGAGCGCAGACCCCACACATGGACCCACCACTGAAAGGGGGTCGGGGGTTGGAGGCCCAATGAGATTTGTTCAGGATTACAGTATAAGACTGTGGAGTATAACAAAAGTATTTGGAATCAAATGTATGTACATGTAGTGAGTGACCTACATGTACATGTACATGTACCACTACGTAAATGTTTGGTCAATTTTTGGCTCCCGTGATTTTGGACGAACCATTCAAAATGTCAAAGTGCGAGTCAGAAATCTGGTAAAAATTCTACACACAACACCTGATGCCCCTGTGCACAAATCTATGAGACTTGTCTGAAAAAAGGGAATGCTTCAGAATTTTCCTTGCTAACTTTCACTTTTTGGGACATATCACTTTCTGATGGCTGTTCTAACATTGTAAGGGAAAATTAGTGTTGCCCATAGGATATGGAACTCTTTTCCGATCCAGGACTGGGAAAAATCTAGAACTAGGAAAACAACTGTATTTAACCACATGCATTTGAAATGTGTTTAAGTTGAAAGTATTGAAGTTCATGTAAATGTAGGCCTTGGCCTTATGTTAAGGACTAGGGTCCTACAGTGAAAGTCAAAGTTTGCCAGCACTACGTTCCATGGCCATGATGGACATGAAGTTAAGCATGTTAGGCGACCCCTTGCCCCAGACTGGGGTCAGTCTACCAGCAGACTGCACTGCATGTACCTCCGTATCCTTGGCCCCACAACAGCCCATCCAAAAAGTGGAGACTCTGTGAAAACGCCTTCTGTGAACCCCGTTTTGCGTGTATGGCTCACTCACCCCATCAGATCATTTATGTTTTAATATGGGCAATTTCCAGTTTGTTCCTATTATTAGCAAAATGTTTGTTTCGATTTCGCCATCTTCCATTGATTAACTCCCGATCTTTTGACCAATGCTAAAAACAGTTGGAATCTGTTTGGTCCGGGAATCAGCTGATAATGTTTCCAGAGGATGGCATAAGTTCCCACAGCATGATATTGCTTATAACGAATGTAAAGCGAAATACATACGATGCTTGGGATCGAATGTGAAATTGTTGCCAGATGCATGGAGTGTGGCACACACACCATTCACTCGTCCAATCCTGCGCAATGATGCGCCACCCATGAAAATACCCAACAGCTGTTGTTTTCGACACATTCATAGCATTAACGCATACCCTAGGCTTCACAACAAGTGATACATGTACATGTACATGTACATGTACAAGGGTGCACCGAACTACTTTTATTCAAGCTCTTCTGAAAAGAGTGTCAAATCAACAAGGTTTGGAGCCCCACTGCAGGCAACTGAAGTCCCTGAGGCCTCTTATACAAAAAACATGGTTTTGGTCCTTCATATTTCATTCGATTTTCATTTTGAGTTTTAATTATCCATGAAAAACAAACTCCCCCTCTAAAAGTGAGCGTTCCCAGGTCTTCTCAGAAGCCATTTTTCAAATGACATCCCTCACCTCTCTCAGGCTCTTCTGACAATTTTTCAATAACATTTTTGTCTGCTTTGCCCCCAGTTGGGAGCCCCTTAATCTATAGAGATGATCCCAGGCCACATACCGTACATGTACATACTCCTCTTTTAGAAAGAGTTTGTAGGGGTACTTTATAAGTGCCTCCGCCTGGCAGAGAATTTTCCAGTGCACCCACAAATTTGCTGATAAACAGTAGTTGGGATTACCGTCTTTAACAATGTATGCTTCCCAGAACAAACAGATCCCAACTGTGTTTAGCACAGAGAGATCTATTTAGCACAGAGAGGTCTGTTAAGCACAGATCCGGAGTTAATCGCTGTATTAAAATGGCCAATGTGAAGATCACGAAATTGAAGCAAACATTTAACGGACAGAAACAAACTGGAAATCGCCAATGTCAAAATATCAATGATCTGATGGGGTGAGTGAGCCACACACATGACCTACGGCATTTTTGCGGAGTTTCCGCTTTTTGAATGGACTGTTGTGGGGCCAAAGATATGGAGGTCATCCTGTAGACTTGCCCCCAGTCTGCAGTCTGGGACTAGGGGACTTCTAGACCTGTGGGGCAGCACGGATATCCGGGAATTTCACAAAATTGTGGGTAGCAACCACCGTGCAAATGAAAACAACTGCAGCGAGCGCGCGTACGTACTGAGCAAAAAAAAAGATTGTGTAACCTGAACCTTGGACTGGCTGGTGTGTGCGTACGTTGTTATTATCACCAGTGTGGTACACGTACATGCCATTTTGCAAGAATCCCGGATGTCCGCGCTGCCCCATTTATCCACCAGACACTGATTTTCAAGGGAATAAGGCTTTTTCTTTCATTTGAAAAAAAAAAAAAAAACAAATGTAAGATATCAACTAATGCCCTAATAACCTTCCTTAAGTAACATGCAATTTGAAAACAACAATCAATACTGGATGACCATCACAGCTTCAGCCCAACGAAGTGATCTCCTACTGTGACCTATATTTGAGGGTTATACAGAAGTACAGTGCCCAAGTGAAGCCATGCATGAAATAAATGTTTGCTGCCATGCGGCGTGTCTTGTGCGGCGTCTTCTTATTCTTTATTGTCGGAAGTCGTCTTTTCCAAAATCAATCTTTTTTTTACCTCACAAAATACTGAAATGATTTTAAATTTCAAATTAGGCATAAAGATAAAACTATTGAAGCTGTTTCTTTTCTTTCAACTCTAAAGTTTCCCTGTGTTTTATGTTTTTTTCCCAACTGTCCTATGTTTATTTTTCATTAAACATGAAAGTAATGAATTGGCAAATGTTTTAAATTGAACACACTTTCATTTGTTTCTAAAACTGAAACAAGCAACATGATGTACATGTACATGGAATGCTTACTGTGGAGATTATTTCATTAACCATAATTTACTTGGCAAAATAATAAACATGCTTGAACTGAAAAAATGGCTTATATTTTTCTCTGGGAAATCTCCTGACAAAAGAAGGAATCTGCATTGACAAAATTTACTCCTCTGTGGGTTGGAAGCATGGGAGACTGTGACAAGGTGTGACAATAAAATGTATCCCTTGCCAGGAGAGGGGTGACTCTGCAACAGTACTTGACGTGTGCCCTGTGCAAGCAGTTTCGAACAAACACTGGCCCCATGGTGTTAAATTGATGGAGTTTGCAAGTTCAGTGGGTCGAAATCAGTGGAAAACACAGCACTTGCCACTGTCATCAATCTCTGAGTCGCTGTCATCATCATCGGTGGTGGTAGCGCTCTGAAGCGATGTTGTGTTCTGGTGCAGGAGCATGACTTGAATCAGGTTGAGGGGGTGGAGAAATCACACAAGGCTTCTTTGGTTCATTCACATCAACAACACGTGTTGTAAGCATTGATGGTGAATACAATGTACATGTACATGTACACATAGCTCCTGTAGATGCTTGCCCCAGACTGCAGAACTGGGCTTGTACACGTGTTCTGCAAGACGAGGAAGTAACATGTATTTTGCTGTTGGATGTCACATGTTGGTTGTAATGTCTAGGGCCTAATGAATATTTATTGTCTCTTTCTTGTCAAAATATCAATATATTTTTTATTTTGTAGGCCTTAACTGTAAAAACTCCACACAGTCACTTTACTTTAATATTTGTTGAAAGAATGAAATGAAAGAAAAAAGCTACATTGAATTACTGTTCTTAGAAATGTACGCATTAATTTAAATGGTTAATATGCATGCAGGAATTAAAAATTTTCGTGGAAAAATAAGCTTTGCAACATATCAACTCATCCCTCCAAAAGTGAGGGCGAAACGATTTGCCAGGCAGAGAGAAAATTATATAAGGAACATGTCTTTTCTAAGTGTGCTCACATGCTCAATTGTCAGTGGAGCAGTGCTTCCATTTTCAAGGAAATTTCCTTATTTTAAGGAAATTTTTGCTTTCGAAGGAAATTTTAAGGAAATGAAAAAAATCTAAGGAAATTTTGAGGAAATCCCCCAAACCTAAAGAAATTCTAAGGAAATTCTGAGCAAATTTTACAAATATTCTCAAACTCAGCAGCAAAATCAACATTACAAACTCTGCAATTATATTCTGTCAGATTTAGGATTACTGGAAACAAGATTAGTAGAATAAAACGTTCTGCGTGTGCGCACAAGTTTGTCCGTGTCATTCAGATCAAAGATAGTATGGTGCTGCACGGCGCTTTACTATCTTTGATTCAGATCAATATCCCCACCCATGATGCACACAGCCTGAGCTTTTCGTTCAAGACTGTGAGTTTAAGCATTGCATTGACCTCTTCTGATCATCTAGCAAACAAACATAGTATTAGTAGTTTTTGGTAGTATATTAGGCTTTTTGGTGGTTAACTAAAAAAATAAGGAAATCGGGAGGAAAATAAGGACATTTGGCTCTGGGGATAGGGAAATTTTCATTTTGACTGTGGAAGCACTGCAGTGGAGTCACATGACTTCAGTCACACACGAACAGCGAGACTTTGAAACATTGTAATCTGAAACTTTAAAAGACACTGTACATGTAGGCCTAACGAATATTACTAATTGCCCCCGCAACCTCGATGGTTTTTGTATCTAAGTTGCAAACTAGGCCAAAATACATAAACTCTAGATATTTATGAGGGCAACTTACCGCTTAAGCCTTAGCTTTCGACATGTAGTGAAGGTACATGTATATTTCACGTCACTCGAAGTTGTTTGCAACGCGCGGCGTAACCAGCGAAAACAGGGCCCCTCGAAATCTGGTTCTTTTTCGAACTTTTTCCCAAAGTACATACAGACAAGATGCACACAGCCGACAAAAGCAGAACTTAGATTAAAGATGCATAACGCCTATGTGCTTATAAAAATTGCAAACTGTTTACCTCTCGTCTGCACCAAATCACCCGCCATGATGGAATTTAGCAACCAATGACCGAGGAAAATTGGTCAAAAGAGGGCGCTATTTATCAACAAGAGTGGGCTGGTTTGTGTTCTGCTAACAGGGTGACGGACGACGGAATTCACGTGATCATCAAAGGGTATTTACTGGTGAAAGAGAAGCGTACTGCTGTTTTCGAGAAGTGGCTGGTACAAGCGGTAGTCAAACAATAAATGGTTGTCAAAGGGTAGATGGAAAAAGCAAATTAAGTGCCAAAGTTTCGGCAATAGGCAAAAAAAATCGGGGGGGGGAGGGAGAAGAATTTAGAAATACGTAACTGTTTACGATCGAGGGTCACCCCCCCCCTTTGGAGAAGGGGATGTCCCGCGCTGTATGTGGGAAGCCCGCAACGAGGATCTGGTAGTCAAATAGTAGCTGCTGGTAAAAAAGTTAACTACCGGTCAATGGAAGCTGGCAAAGGTGGATCTTGTTTCTGGTGGAATTTCGTCAGTCATGTAACATGATTTTTTTCGCTTATAAACATGGTTTGAGGAGGACTGAAATGAAGCAGTTCCCCAAATGGGTGTGTTTGTGGGGTGGGGGTAGAATCTCTTGATGTTCCCTGTTTTGGCCTGGATGGAAGGCGAAATTTGGAGGCTTTGTTACACGCACTGGGAAGCAATTCAAATAGTCCCTCCCACAAATCGCCCTTTTCTGATCCCATTTAAAAAACAAACTAAGTGATGACCGCCTTTTCAAGCGGGGTTGGGTGTGGAATGACCCCCGTTAGCGGCAATGGTAGCTGATGATGAAAGAGAAACTGTTATTCTATAGAGGGAAGAGAGCTCGAGTGAAAAAACTCCCTCTAGAGAAACAAAAAAAAGTTTACTCTTTTACGCTTTGTTTGATATACTTTTGTCCAAATGGACCATTAGCATATTGAATAACAATAAAGTATTGTCTGTAAATGAACTGGCAGTTATGTTGGGAGAATTTGGACATCATCAGTTTCCCATTTTCATATATCTCCATCTCCTCACCGAGTGATGTTATTTTTGCACAAATTATGGCACTAACTAGATTTTTCAACAGAACTCGATCGGCACTTGTACGCGTGAAAGCCTGATTTCACAGGCAGTCATTGGTCGTTGGCCAATCACAACGCGCGAAATTTGTCGACCCTTTCCAAACGCGCATAGGGTCGACAAATTTNGTTGGTAGACGATTTTTGTAGATTTTGCTGTACTACATTTTCTCGTTTGCTGACTTATTTTTGTTTATATGCATAGAAACAAACAACCATCAGCCCCTTTCTCTTAAATGTTTTTAATAAGTAAATTCTGGCTTCACAGTTTGAACAGAAACACCAGTGCATTGAACTTTGTCTTCCTTACATGTAGATGCCGTCACAGCGACAGCGCCCCCAGTTTCTAGGAAAGCATGAATAATTTTTAAAAGTGTTAAAAGTGCGCTTTTCAACTTTTCATACATTAAAGAATAGTATAAAGTTGCAGAAAAGCTGTGCCTAAGACAAATTAATTACTGTCAGCTACTCTTTCAAGACGGCAATGGAGGTATCTTCATGGTGACTGTAAACTGATCCTTTGCGTAGAATATCCTGTTTTCAGCGTGCGCCCTCGATTGGAAAGTGCAGTGGGTATGAGCAATGCCGTGCGCCTACACATAAGCACAAACGATTTTTTTTCTCAACCACATTTGAAGTAATTCTTAGCATTTAATTTTTCCGTCTTTGAACTTGGGCAAATGGTAAATAATAAATATTGAAAAGTCATTTATGCTTTATTAAGGAACATGTAGGCCCTATCACTGAATTTGATGTGGAAATCACCACGAGAAGATGAGAGGGGAAGGACAAAATCTTCAACTATTTTTTCCCCTAAAGATCTTCTAATTTAATAAATCTGTCATTACTGTAAACACTTCTGGGTTGACTATGACCAAGCTCAGTTTATGGACAACCATTACAAATTCACAAGGCAGCTGGGATTGGGATATAATCTAAGAACGTGTAGGTGGGATACACCACAAAATTTACATGAATTAAGAAAGAATACGCATTCACGAAAACAGTCATGTAGAGTAAATCCCTTTCCAACACTACCCAGTTCCAAACCCTTGTAATACTCAGACATGTCAAAGTGACGTAGTGCGCCCCATTCTTGGTCCCCGCATGAGTTTGTTCATAGCTCGCTTGACGTGCGCTGTGGCGCCGTGAGCCTTGCGTTGCGCCCTCTCGTGCTTCTCGTCTGCTCGTTTGTGCTTCCACTCCCGGAACGCGTTGTGGAAAAGTTCGGCCACGTTCCAGATCTGGCGGCCGTCCTTGGCTGAGATTTCGCAGTACGGGTAGCCCATATCCTCCGCCAGTTTCCTCCCCTCCGACTCAGTGACGGTTCTGTCAGGAAGTAAGGAAAAGCAGACGAAATTACGAGATTTAGGACTACAAGTCTCAAAAAAGAGTTCCCTTTTCTGCCCACTCAGAGAGATTTTATTGAAACACTTGGCATATACTTGTGACGTTTGCAATATTTGTAACGTTTGAATTACATGTATTATCATTTACATCTTCACAATGGTCCACATGTCAGAACCTAGTCTTGATTACAACAGATAGAAAACCTTGTTTTTCATCTGCGTTGACAGTTTGAAATTTCTTTAAAACGGTCAGTTTACAAATGTTTGTGTCTGAAAAAAAAGGCCTACATGGGGATGGATCTCCTGTAGGACCTTTTAGGTTTTTACTTCATCGTAGGCTATTATTGTAAAGTGGATATTTGCAGCTGACACATTTTCTGACAGTCTTTCTTCGTACTTTACTTGAAATTTTATATCCTTAAAAACTTTATAAAATTGATCTGAACAGTCTACCCGTGTAGGCCGATCCGCAGAGCTCATTGTTAATGTTGCCAACTGATAGGGCTTTCTGCACTGATGGTAAATGAAGATGCGCGTTCCTGAACTGCTACAAGTATTATATTTGATGCAGGTAATTTGTATATTTTCTGTGGAAATGTGTTCCCTTCGAACCTCATTTCTTTGCGCAGATCATTCTTGTTGGCTACTAAGATGACGGGCAACGAGCTAGTCGTCTTCAGGGCGTTCTCCACATCTCGTTTAATGTTCGAGATTTCTTCGAAGCTCCGTCGGTCTGCTACCGAGTAGACGAAGAGGAAGGCGTCGCCCCAGAGCGCGTAGGCATTGCGGTGTCCGTGCTTGTCCTGAAGACAAAAACCTATGAAGTTGGCATTATTGAACATGAAAACTCGGTACATATGTTTATACGTCTTTCGGGCACACACTCAGTTACGTCGCGGCACCAACAGATCTAGAAATTGACAGATTACAATGGCGTTCCATATCAACGGTGCACGCTTCTGCATATACCCAAAATGGTTCACGCGATCAAGGCGCACGCAATTTTTAGCGGAAGAGATTACGGTCGCTCTTTGAAAGAGGGCAGATAGGTGTAGGCCTAGTGTCGATCAAAACTAGAAACTATTATACAATACCTACAAAAATCCCCGCCATCTGAATCAGTGATCACTTCATTTCACTTGACTGCATGGTTCCCACTCCCATTTCATATATTTCATTCCCATTCAGAAAGAGGAAAATAATGCAGGGACGGAAAGTTGTCTAACATTGTACGCCACTACCGTGTGAGTAGCGCTTTGGACACCAATCTGTTTCGAAAATGACAGACTAATTTGTTCTCCTAATCGCAAGGGGGTTTTGCAGGTGTGTACAAAACAAATAGGCCTGATGAATGTTTCACATTCGTGCAATGGTAAGAATCATTTCATTCGTTGGCAGATGGAATGTTCAATTCCATCTAGTTTCACCTCGTGGAATCAAACATCATTTCATCGTCTCCTCATTATTGGTCTTACCATTGCACTCATAACAACTCATAATTTATATATTACTGCGGTGACAGAACGATCCCGTGGACAGGTGGAACGCGACCAAGCGGCCGCCGTGATTGGCCAAATGCACGCGCATCAAGCTGAAGAACGCGCATGTGTGTGTGTTGCTCACCAGTGGTTGCCATCGTAGTTATGGTGTCGACCAGGCACCACAGATGAGATTTGATGTTTAATTAATGGGCCTGCTAAAAGAGACAGGGAAACACCTCCCGGAACACATTTTGATGGAGGACGACGGGGCTTAGTAAATGCATTTTCAGAAATATTATTGTTTTTCATGTAACTATTGTGCTATACTCACGTGACCAGCAGTGTCTAAAATTTCCATGACAACGTCTTCTCCATCAACTGCTGCATGATATCTGCACAAATATTCTGAAATGTCAATAAGATTTTATACAATCTGAGGAACGTCAACGACGAAAGATAAATATTTCTTGTTAATTTTTAAATTCTTTATAGTGGTTGGTTTACAGTTGATACATTTACAAAATTATAAAGTACATGTACGTCCACTCACATTATGACCGGTCATCTTGCATGAATCATGCAATAAAGGTCAGTGAGCGGACTGACTTACCTAGTGTAGGGTCGTACTCTCCAATGAAACGCCTGGTTACATATCGCACCATCAAAGCTGTCAAAGAATTAATTTCGTTACATTTTTTCCATTGTCACATTCTCTTGTGCAGAGCGACTTACGGGAGGGCAAATGGGGTCAAAGAGTAGCTGGTGGAATACTGTGAAAGACGCTATCACGTGAAAGAGCGTCGTCTATTGGCATACAGAAATTTATTTTGAAGTTTAAAATTCCTTTCACCCCCATGGACCATCAATACTCATTAGATAAGAAAAAATGCGACGTTTCATTGAGGTGACGTCGGGGAGAATTTTGATATCAGTTTTCTTATTTTTTTCCAGTTTTTTCAGTTTCTAAATTTCGGCTTTGTATATTAAGGGGGTGGGTAGCAATACCATCTCTCTCCACTAAAATGATGTGGAATCATATCGTCTTGATTTTGTGTTCTGATTCTAAAAAAAAAATAAGAAAGTTATGATACATTACAGCTGAAGTGCAGTTATCACTGAGCGAAACTATTGGCACTCTGAAAGAATTTAGGGGAAAAGACAGGAACGAAACGAATTAGACGGAGAGGTGAGTCAAGAAAGTGGGGGGTGAACTTCACCTGTTTTGCCAACGCCTGGTGAGCCGAGCAGCACGACACGGAACGACAGCGAAGATGGCGGGGGAGACGAGTGAGAATTCTCTGGCAGTGGACTCGACGAGAAGGTGGTCGACCTGCGCGTCCTTGTCAGACTCATCGTTTGATCAAAACGCAGGTCGGTCAAATATTACAGCATAACTCATGATTCACCATCATTAGTGTTACCCTCCTCGTTGTTATTGTTCCATGTAGATTGAGGTTCCAATCGGCAGCTATTGCGATGTCTGAACATCCAAATTGTTCAAGATATTGGGACGTTCTTGGATGGGAATCCTATGGATGAATCCATCCAGAGTAACAGGCCGAATTTGTCCCCAACACCATACACTCTCGTCAACCGCCGAAAGACCGAATACCGCACTGGCCGCACCGTGTCTTGTGGCTCAGGACACCCATTGCATTAATCACACCTGTCCGCTGATACACTGGGCTTCCATGAAAAGACACAGGCAAGGCGGGAGCTTCTCCACCCGCAGAGCTACCCACAGACTGACCGGCTAAAATATCGCAGTTCGCCGATCTGCAAGGGGTGGCAAGAAAGTAAATTGTATAGAATTATCCACTTATCCCCTCGCAGTACGTATTTATTATTCGATATCAATCATGCCGATGGCGAATACCGAAATATCACGTTTATTTATAAAGCTCTCCTTGTCGGGGACAAAATACCAGCAATCACTGGATGACGAGAGTTGGTACATAACGCGTGCATAGGTGTGCCCGGCATGTTTATAAATACCTCTTCTGTGAGACAGCTGCAGAGGAATGGACTTAATTTTTCAAGCATATCGAAATGGCAGAAACTGCTTCGGCTGCACGCAACGTGACCAAAATGTACGATGTTCCAAATCTGCCACCCAAAAAAGTTGCTCCAAAGCTTGGTGAATCTTGGCAGATTTGCATCCAGCACACATGTAGTGTTACAGCACTATGGTCAAGCGCCAGTGCTCATAGTGACTGTGCACGCCGTATTTATCCTTACTGCATGTCTTATGCAAATCATTCTAGGTATGTGCTTGTATATGTTTTCTCTTTTCTTTGTGTTCACACGGTTGTCGCTCATCACCCGGCAGGGCTTAACTAGAAGTCTGATCAAGCGCTTCGATTTGTAGATACGAAATGTAGTTTTAAAATAAAGATTTTTAAAAAAATGAATATTATATTGCGGGGCATGAATTGTTCCTCAAACAGATGCCTTCAAGTGTTTCCCTATTGCTACGACTCATGTTCAACGGGCTCTAATTTCATGTTCAATTCATGTTCAGTAATTCGAGATCAGCTTGATTTGTTTGCGTGCCGTTAGACCTACAGCTACAAATACGACCCCAAGCAGGCAATCGAGGCAACTCTTAAGGCACGAACACCATGGCCCCTGTTAGGGTTCGAGCGCATAAACTACGGCACATGAGTCAAAGCTATATTATTAAATTGTGACGCTTTGAAGCCAATGAAGATTCCAACGTGCTTGTACACGTGCAGTGGATTATACTTTGACTAACTTAAATGAATTGGGGTTGAGGGCTTCTTTGACGTTTTTAGTCTTGATTTTTTTATGCCTATCATAATAGTTTCTGGGTCAAGTTCTCCCATAATCATCGTCGCCACGGCAACTAGAAAGTCTTCAAAACTGATTTTGGTTTGTGATTTGTCTTTAGACTACGGCAAAATTATGATAATGTGTTGAGTAAGAAAAGGAGAAACAGCAAACGAAACTCTAAGAATTAAGAGTTCATTTTGATAAACCAGTCAGTGACGCCAGAATGTATACAATGGGGAATTTTCAAGCACCCTGATTTGGTGTCAACATTTGTCGATGTTGGTATCAACAATGCGAGAAACAGTTTCATTTTTGCCTCTGCCATCCAAACAAACATCCACATTCGCTGCATTCTTCACACTGTACTCGGGTCTCGGCGGGTCGAGTCAATTTTTCATATTTCTGTCTCCTGTTTAATTTAACCCCGAAATAGTCGCGGTTAACGAACTGGGGTAAGGAACGGACAGTTTATGGTGTCCTCGACTTTGTAGACGCGGAACATAGGGGTCCGTTGACCGATGTCGTTCTAAGAGAATTTATCGTATTCAGTGCTCAAGATTTTCACATTAATTTTGTTCCCCCGTTATAGACCTGCGTCATACTATTGAACGTGTAATGTAACTTATTACGCCAAATCGGGGATAGTCTTGAATTTTGTAGGAATCATTTTATTTGCTATAACCGTATTTCGCACATTTCGCAGTTAGCCAAACGCTCCCTTTAAAAAAAAGAATATATCTTTTTACGAAATTAGGAAATGTGCCTTACTTTAGGTATGAAAAAAGTGTCAGACAACTAAAATACATGTATATATTAATCGACAATTATTTACTTGCACGCGCACCTTAATAGGATTAACCTCACAAATGAAAGGTAAGGACAAAGGCTAATAAATTAACCTTGCACAATGGGGAAAAAGTCTCTAAATCAACACGTCTATCAGCATGTAAACTCCATTATATAATCAGAATACACTTCCATGTCAACAAAGTCACGCGGCTGGCTGGGTGATAGGGATTGGTCTGTTGTTTTCTCGGAGCGACATCGCATTTTTGCCCGCTGTTCGAAGGCGTGCTTTTGTACAATCACTTTTCTCGTGCATCATATGAATTGTTTGTAGCAATTTACTTTGTTAGGCTATAAGCATTTGTCTAATTTTATGCATTAAATCCAAAGAAGCATATCTGAAACAACACATCAAAAATGAAAATTGGAAACCGACAAGCGAGTCTATGACACGAAATAAACAACAAAGTGTAGGTAAAATCAGGCAGAACAACATTAATCACTCAGGTGTTTTGATTAAGTTATACAATTTAAATTAACTTCAATCACTTTCTCATTGTTTTTTGCAACGTCCCCCAACTGAATCAACGATTTTCAACAGTTTATGAAATGAGACAATCTGTCACTCATTTCGTCGAAATGAATCCAAGAGTTCAGCGTCCGACCCGCCACAAACACCAATTCGATCTATCCCTCCAGAGCTACCAAATAACCCAGAATATAAGACTCGCCATTCTGAGAGGCAAGAAATATCATCGTCAATTTTACCGTCGAAATTGTCGGAAGTCTTTACCCAATATCGTCTTCACCCAGCAGCTGTCGGCAGAGCGAGCTTGGCAAGATGATTTTTTCAGAACGGCACAGCGTGTAGCAAATAGGCCCGATATATCGCTCACGAATGTCAGCCGTTTCACGTTGCTTCGTAGTGTAGACCACTCCCCTCCGGCTATCCCCGTGTACGTGTTTACATGTGCATGTACATGTGTCTGGTCCCTTCTGTTCAACAGCTAAGACAATACAGGAAATCTGGTACAGGTACAACTCCTGACCATAGCTTCACAGTGACTCCGCGTATACGGGCTTCACTACCGGTAAACCTGGCTTGGGTGCAAATCATCTAGCTCAGCTGCCGCAGCAACACTACTTGATTAAAGCTAACATTCACAGAAAAAGGGTCACAGAAAGTGGGCACCATGTGCTAAAAACAAATTTTAAAGGGAAAGTCTTAGGCTATGTCGGAAACGGGCGGAAAGAGCTTCGCATAGGCCTATTGTCTGCTAGTATTTCCAATGGAGTGAAGACCTAGACCTAGCTCTTGACAACAGATCCGGATACAGCCTTATTAATGACTTTCAATTGGCTTCAGTACTGATGACATCACAACTTGTTCACGTGTGCTCTTTCCACGGTAGCAGGCTGCGGAGAGCAAATAAGAAAACAAGAGGTGACGTCGACAGTACGTAAGCTTATTAGATGTTACTTTTTACAGAATAGGTGAGTAGGAAAAATACAGCG